AACATTCTACCTTTTCAGCTTGTTCCTTCCTTAAATAGGAACAATTCTACCTTGCCAGACAAGTTAATGACTGGAGTAGTGATAACAGATGCAATAGCCTAGACTAGTACTTGGTCCATGGGAGCCCTCAATAAATGCCAGCTATCGTATGGTCACAACTTAAATATGACCAGAAATATCTTCCCTGTTAAAACACAAAAACAGGCATAATGTTTTGGGTGCCTAATAGGTGTCAGGTACTCTTAACTATTAATTATTTAATATTATATTAGTTCCACCTTGAAAGATAAGGAAATTCGGACACTCAAGGCCTGAACCCAAAAATTTTGAATCCAGAGTCTGCACTCTTCACTGCTAACTATATTAAATAAAACTGTATTAACTCTATTAAATAAAACCATTGAAAGATGAGGACCCTATCCGGGGTCGAATTTTTAAATATTAGACTTGAGTTTTAAAAGTCCTTGGGCCCCACCCTCTCGTTTAAATTTGAATACTATCTAATGCTAATTCAACATAAAGGTACAACAAACTTAGTAGTTTTTAGAGCATGGACTGATGAGTCAGTCAAACCAGGTCTCAAGGCCTGCTCACAGCTGAGTGACCTTACCCTTTTCAAAATTCATCTAGAAAATGGGGAAAGGAATAGCATCTACTTTACCAGCTGTTTTAAGTTTGAGCCATGAAGATGGTGGTGAGAAAGGAAATGGAGTAGACAGTGTGGTTTGTCCCTAGGGGACCCAACAAGACAGCAGTCGCCCCCAGCCCGCTCCCGTGGGCCCGATCTTACCGCTCTTGGGTTTAGACTCGCCGGCTGGCCCCGCCGAGGCGGAGCGGGGCGGTTGTTGTCCTTTGCTGCTGCCCGAAGAGGCGGAGGAGCTGTTGGAGCCGCTGTTCTTGTCCATGTCGGAGGCGGTGGCGGCGGCGCTGGGGGAGCTCTGCGGCATCAACGGGGGCCTCGGCGGCGGCGGCGGTCGGAGCGGAGCGGGCGCGGCGGAGACCCAGGCTCATGGCGTTCAGGGCCGGCGGGGGTCGGCGGCGGCAGCGGTTCTCGGCCTTCATGGCGACATTTTTCCTTGTTTCCTTCCTTGGCTTCTCAAATTGGGAGGAGAAGCGGCAGGCGGGGCTATCGAGCCCAGAGACGGCAGTGACCAAGAAGGAGGAGTAGGCCGGGGCTCGGGAGTCCGGGCCGGGCCTGGCGGGGCGGAGGCTTGCAGGGGAAGGGGAAGCGAGGGAGGGTGCGCGAGCCCCGCCGGCCGGCCGGACACGCTCTCCCGCCGCGGGGCAGGAGAGAGAGCTGGCTGTCTTGGTGTCGGGGACGAATGTCTCCGACACAGCGACCGACACTCGCCTCTAGGCCGAGGGCGAGCTGCTCCGGGAATGGCGACGAGTCGCCAAACAGCATCTCGAAGAACCCGGATGGAGTATTTATACTGGAGAAGTAGGAGTGGTGCATTCTGGGAAACGTAGTTTTCACTTACATCCGGGTGCGATGATTATCCCCCACTACCCTCCGCCCATCTAAGAGCATGGGATCCTGGGATTTTTAGTTTCTGCCAAGTCCGGACTTTCTTAGCATTTGTTACTATTATATAGATTGTTAGAGTACTAACAACAATGCAGACAAACATTGAAATACTAATAGGACTCCTTTATGGACTTATTTGATTTATGGTTCTTTTTCTAGTATTAATATCAATAGATATATAGCATTAAGTTCTCTTATGTTATTATAAATACTAGTGTTAATAATAATGACAGTACCTGCCGGGATTGGTGGCCCAAGCCTGTAATCCTAGAGACTCTCGAGGTTGAGGCAGGAGGATTGCAAATTCAAGACCAACCTCAACAATTTAGCGAGGCCCTAAGTAATTTAGCAAGACTCTATCTCAAAATAAAAAAAACTGAAAGGACCCTGCGGGTTCAATCCCACTGTCACAAAAGAAAAGAAAGAAACTTCCTATGTGCCAAGCATCGTGCTGGGCACAAAGAATGCCAAAGATTATAAAGTTAAATAAAACTACAATACAAGAACATGATAAGGGATACAACATAGTTAACTACAAAATGCTGATCAGAGTAGACACAAGAGAGAAGTACTGACAGTTAAGAGGAGTAAAGGACTTCCCATAGGTGATGTCACATGAGCTGAACATAGAAAGATAAGCGCAATTTCATTTATTTATTTTTGGATGCTAGGAATTAAACCAGGGCCTCATGCATGCTAGACAAGTGAGTTACCACTGAGCCACACATGATGTGAATAAGTGGAATTTAACTGTCATTTCAGAATGAATGGGCAGACATGATAACCTGCACCTGTAATCCCAGCTAGTTGGGAGACTGAGACAGAAGGATGTCAAGTTCAAGGCCAGCCTGGGCAATACAACAAGACCCTGTCTCAAAGTCAAAAAAAAAAAAAAAAAAAACTGAGAAAGGGGATGGGGATGTTGCTCATTGGTAGAGTGCTTACGTAGCATATGTAAAGCCCTGGGTTCTAATCCCCAGTACTACAAAATAATGATGATGATGATGATGATGAAGCATCTCTAATTGGGCCTTCTTGGCTCCTTATTAGTCATTGCATGGAATACAAGACATTAATAAGCACATAAATAAATAACTTTCTTGGAATTAACAGTTTAAACTAGGATGAATGAAAATAGCTGTGTGTGTGTGTGTGTGCGTGTGTGTGTGGAGATTAAAATCAGGGACATTCTACCACTCAGCTACATTCCTAGCTCTTTTCATTTTTTTTTTAATATATTTATTTATTTTTAGTTTTCGGTGGACACAACATCTTTGTTTGTATGTGGTGCTGAGGATTGAACCCGGGCCGCACGCATGCCAGGCAAGCGCACTACCGCTTGAGCCACATCCCCAGCCCTCTTTTCATTTTTTGAGACAGGATCTCCCCAGATTCTTCAGGCCAGCCTCAAATTTGCATTCTTCCTGCCTCAGTTTCCAGAGTTGGTAGGATTATAGGTGTGTGCCACTATATCTGGCTGAGTACCATATTTTAAAATTTGTTTTAAATGCCCTCTATCCATTCTTTTCCTGCTTCCCTTTTTATAGTTCCCCTCCACATACACAAATAATGATGAAGTAAGAAAATAGCTAAACACAATTAGTCTGGAAACTTAATTTTATGTCCAGAAGGATCAGCCCCAAATCCTGGGGTCTATTCTTTTATATAACTAGGTGTGGAGATTTTACCAATTCCCTGATAAACCTTTACTTCCTTTAACAAAGACATGAAAATTCTGAGTTCATGGATGAATCATTTCTTCCTTCTATCATTCACAAAAATAAAAGAGAAGGAAATCTGAGTGTAGTAGGTGTCCATCTGTCAGGCTATATTAAACCAGGAAGAGACTTTTCATTTCAAAATAGTTTCTTTGGATCCTTGGCACTTTCTCCTTGTACAATATTTACAGAAAATATACATTTAAATAGGGAATTAAAACAGAAACATACAGAAATTCAAGCAAAACAACAACCTACATTCTCTTTTGTGCAAGATGGTCTACGTTATTCTTTCCATATAAAAATAAAAAGGACTGGAAATATGGGGTTTAAGTAAAACACTCATGACATGCCAATTGAAGCTAAAAATGTGGCGTGGATCAGCAGGAGACAAAATGTGCATAGTGTTTGGTTCTAGCTTTCTAAAATGATACCAGAATTTTCATTCCCTTTAGAACTTCCTAGGTTCACAAAATGGACAGGCCAAAGAAGTCTTTCCTATGTTTATTTCTCAGTGTTTTTCCAGAATGGTGTGCAAGCCAGGCAAGGATGTGCAGGACTGTAATTCCAGCAATTTGAGAGGCTGAGGCAAGAAAGATCACAAAATTCAAGGCCAGCATAGGCAATTCACTGATACCCTGTCTCAAAATAAAATATAAATACGGATGGGGATGTAGCTCCATGGTAGTGTCCCTGAGTTCCATCCCCAGTACCAAAAAAAAAAAAAAAAAAAATCTGTAAAGTGTAAAGTCTGTTAATCTCTTCCATCATAATCACCAGAGAAGTTTATTCAAATAAAGATCCCATGCCTGTCCAGTATGCCCAAGGCCCTGGATTCCACACACACATACACTCACACTCCAGGGATACATACCAGATTTACTGATTTAAAAATTTCTGGTAGTTGGGGTTCAAGAATCTGTATTTTAAAATTAAATGAGCCAGAGGCTGGGGATGTGGCTCAAGAGGTAGCGAGCTCGCCTGGCATGCGTGCAGCCCGGGTTCCATCCTCGGCACCACATACAAAGATGTTGTGTCCGCCGAAAACTAAAAAATAAATATTAAAATTCTCTCTCTCTCTCTCTCTCTCTCTCTCTCTCTCTCTCTCTCTCTCTCTCTCTCTCCTCTCTCCCTCTCTCTTAAAAAAAAAAAAAATTAAATGAGCCAGGCAGGCCTGTAATCCCAAAGACTCAGGAGGCAGAAGGATCGCAAGTTCAAAGCCAATCTCCTCAGCAATTTAACAAAACCCTAGGCAACTTAGTGAGACCCTGCCTCCAAGTTAAATATAAAAAAGCCTGGGTCTGTGAGCTCAGCGGTTGAATGCCCCTGGTTTCAATCCCTGGTACCAATAAATGAAGCTCAAACGAGGTGATTCTTAGACTGAAGTTTTCAAGAACTGACCTGGTGACCTTAGTCTTTTAACTACACCTTGCCTCAGTTTCCCCCTTTTGCACCAGAAAAAAAGAATTACTAGTTATCTTGCAATTTTTGGTCCTAATATATCTGTTGTCAGAATTAAGACACGTCTGCTGAGAGGTGATTGGGTGCTCACCCTGAGGTCTCCTCATACCTGGCGAATTCTAAATTCAATCTGGGAAAAGAGATAGGAAGGGCTTTCGAATGGATGTTCAAAGAGAAAGTAGCTTCTGGGTCCCAGAGATCAGTCCGTGCCTCTTTAACATCTGGTTCCAGGCGCGTTCCAATACATAATGTCTCCAGCCGGCCTCCGTCGCGCATCTCGTGGTGTAACCTGACGTAAGCTTTGGCCCCGGTCGCCCGGCTGTTAAGATGGCGGCGCCCAGGAGCTGTGCTCTATGGAGTTACGCCCGCGCGATGAGGAGCTACAGGTTCCCAGGGCTTCGTAGCTCCTGGCCCGGGGGCCTGCTGAGTGCCCGCCTTTTGTCCCAAGAGAAGCGAGCACCGGAAACGCACTTTGGGTTTGAGACTGTGTCGGAAGAGGAGAAGGGGAGCAAAGGTGAAAGGGGCGAGAGGGCGAAGGGAGGGATCTGTCCAGCCGTGATCTGGTTTTCTTCTGTCCAAGTAAGGGTTGATTTAACTCCTTTTAACTTCATTCTGTTGTCTGTAAGGTTGTGACATCAAAGGACTATCCCACTGCCCGACCTGGCAGAGCTTAGCCGCCCGCCACTTTATTATTATTATTATTATTATTATTTTGGTACCGGGGATTGAACCCAGGAGTATTTAACCACTGAGCCACATCCCCAGCCCTTTTTTATATTTTATTTAGAGATAGGATCTTGCTGAGTCGCTAAATGCTTCGCTAATCTGCCGACTGAACTCATGATCCTCCTGCCTCAGCCTCCCAAACCATTGGGATTACAGGTGTGCACCACCATGCCCAGCTATTTTTTATATTGAGACAGGTTCTCACTAAGTTACTTAGGGCCTCACTAAATTGTTAAGGTATGCCTCAAAATTGTGATCCTCCTGCCTGCGCCTCCCAAGTCACTGGGATTACGAATGTAGACCACCACACCCCGCCTAAGGTATAGATTTGGGCATCAAGCATTATGATTTAATATCACCTTTCAAAGACAGGCGTGTTCAGAGAGTGGCGGCAGAAGCTTCCTTTTTTCCAGGAAGGATTTTCTCATTCCTACTAAGAGCAATTGTGTATTTCTCTCATATCAGTCTATCAGGTGTTTGAAAGTGTGGCCAAGAAGTATGATGTGATGAATGATATGATGAGTCTTGGTATCCATCGTGTTTGGAAGGATTTGTTGCTCAGGAAGATGCACCCATTACCTGGGACCCAACTGCTCGATGTTGCTGGAGGCACAGGTAATATTGAATTTGGTGTCCTTAGGTACCATTGAGGATGTATTACAGAAATTAGTTTCTCTTGTTGGAATGAGTTAGCCCACCTACTGTTTTAGTCAGCTTTTTCACCACTGTGACTAAAAAAACCCACTAAAACAATTGTAGAGGAGGAAAAGTTTGAGGTTTCGTGGTTTCAGAGGTCTTAGTCTATAGAAGGCTGGCTCCATTCCTCGGGCCTCTAGGTGAGGCAGAACATCATGGTGGGGGAGTATGGTGGAGGGAAGCAGCTCACATCATGGTGATCAGGAAACAGAGAAAGACTTCACTGGCCAGATACAAGGGGACATCTCACATCCAAACCATAATACCTACCATTAGTCCAAAGGTAATAAATGAAAATCTGAATACTTATAAAATCTGAGAAGGGTTTGCAAAAATATTAGTCAAAAGCAGCTTTAGGGCTGGGTTGTGGCTCAGTGGTAGAGCTCTTGCCTAGCATATGTGAGGCACTGGGTTCGATCCTCAGCACTGCATAAAAATAAATGAATAAAATAAAGGCAGTGGCACACACCAGTAATTCCAACTACTGAGGAGACTGAGGCATAAGGATTGCAAGTTCAAGGCCAGTCAGGGCAATTTAATTAAGATCTTGTCCCCCCAAAATAATAAAGCCTGGGGGTGTAGCTCAATGATAAACCATTTGCCTAGCATGTGCAAGATCATGGGTTTAATTCCTAGCACTGGGGGGGGGGGGGGAGAGCAGTTTTGTGCTTCTCACTTTTCTGTTAAAATAGGATTTCAAAGTAAAAAGACTAGTTTTTGACTCTAAACACTTTCCCATCTAAATGACTGGTTTTCTTTTTTCTTTTTTTCTGGTATGTGGAACAGAATCCAGGACCTTGAACATGGTCAAGCAAGTGGTCTACCACTGAGCTATACCCCAACCTGTTTTATCTTCTTTTTAGCCCTCAACCCACTTTTCCTCTCTATTTGGGGAGAAAGCCTCTTATCACATTACATAAGCTTTCTAAGAAGCCCTTTCTACCTAATCTGCTATCACATCAGTTATCAAAAGCTTAATTGTTATGCACAGTCCTTTGTTATTTGTTGTACACTGGGCATCTGGGGAGAAAAATGTCCTGTTTTCTAAAACATATGTTGATGACTAGCACGCAGTGAGGCCTCAGGTTTGATCCCTAGCACTGTAAAACAGAAATCTAGTATAATGTAAATAGTTATTGTTCTTAATTGTTTAGGGTATGATGACAGGAAAAAAAAATCTGCACATATTCAGTATAGTCAAAACCATTGTAGGCCTACTACATTTTGTTTATTTATTTATTTTTTTATTACTAGAGATTGAACCCAGGGCTCACACATGATGGGCAAGCACGTTTCCATTCGGCTGTGTCCCAGCTGAGAGCCCAGGGAGAGTCCCACAGACCCACTGAAGGCTGTCCCTCTAACTTGCTATCCTCCTGCCCTGGTCTCCTGAGTGATTAAGATTATAAGTATGCACCCCCACATCCAGTGCTAATTATAATTTTTTGGTACTAGGATTGAACTTGAGGGGACTCTACTAGTGAGCATCTCCAGCCCTTTTTACTCTTTTGGCGGGGGTGGTTACTGGGGGGGATTGACCTTAGGGACACTCGGCCACTGAGCCACATCCCCAACCCTTTATTTAGAGACAGGTTCTCCCTGAATTCCTTAGTGCCTTGCTGTTGCTGAGGCTGGCTTTGAACCCATGATCCTCCTGCTTCAGCCTCCCAAGCCTCTGGGATTACAGGCATGTGCCACCACACCTGGCTCCTTTTTACTTTTTTATATTAAGACAGGGTCTCATTAAATAGTCCTAGCTAGCCTCAAACCTGTAATCTGGGACTAGGGATATAGCTCAGTTGGTAAAGTGCTTGCCTTGCATACACAAGGCCCTGGGTTTAATCCCCAGCACTACACAAAAACAAACAAAACCTGTGATCTGCCAGCCTCAACTTCTCCAGGCAGTGGGATTACAGGTACGCACTACTGTGCCTGTCTCTGACTGCATTTTTTTTTTTTTTTTTTAACAATTTAACCTTAGGCAAGCACAGTGGCACACACCTGTAATCCCAGCAGCTTGGGAGGTGAGATAGGAGGATTGCAAATTCAAAGCCAGCCTCATCAACTTATCAAGGCCCTAAGCAACTCAGCAAAGCCCTGTCTCTAAATAAAATATAAAAAAGGGCTGGGGATGTGGCTCAGTGGTTGAGTGCCCCTGGGTTCAATCCCTGGTACTAAATAATAATAATAGTAATTATTATTATTTAGACTTTATTTAATTAATTTATTTATATGTGGTGCTGAGAATTGAACCCAGTGCCTCACTCATGCTAGGGAAGTGCTCTACCACTGAGGTACAACTCCAGCCCTCTAACTGCATTTTTGATCCATAGTTGATTCAGTCTTTGGATGCAGAACCTGCAGATACAGAAGATCATCAGTATATATTTGTGTTTCTGTTATAAAAATTATTTCATGGGGCTGGGGATGTGGCTCAAGCAGTAGCGCGCTTGCCTGGCATGCGTGCGGCCCGAGTTTGATCCTCAGCATCACATACAAACAAAGATGTTGTGTCTGCCGAAAACTAAAAAACATTTAAAAATTCTAAAAAAAAAAAATTATTTCATGGGCCAGGTGTGGTGGTGTACACCTATAATCCCAGCAATTTGGGAGGCTAAGGCAGGAGAATCACAGATTCAGAGCCAGCCTCAGCAACTTAGCGAGGCCCTATTCAAAAAATAAAAAGGACTGGGAATGTGGTTCAGTGGTTAAGTGTCCCTGTGTTCAATTCCCAGTACAAAAAAATATATAAAATAAAAAGTGCTGGAGACATAGATGTTTGTACAAACAAAACAAAGAAGAGTTGTTGAAAAAAAAAGGTTAACATTGAAAAAAGTAGAAACTTCTATTTTCATGCACTCATCCACTCCTTTTGTTACTCCTTTTGGGTTTAGGAAATGCTTTTTTTTCTGTTTTGGTTTGTATCTTTCCTCCTATTGGCTTCCCACAGGTGACATTGCATTCCGGTTCCTTAATTATGTTCAGGCACAGCATCAGGGAAAGCAGAAGAGGAAGTTAAGAGCCCAACAAAATTTATCCTGGGAAGAAATTGCTAAAAAGTACCAGGATGAAGAAGATTCCCTGGGCGGCTCCCGTGTCATGGTCTGTGACATCAACAGGGAGATGCTAAAGATTGGAAAACAGAAAGCGTTTGACCGAGGATACAAAGCTGGTGAGTCTTACAGAAAGTTGGCACAGGGTATGTTTATAGAATTAGGTGGATTACATAACATTGAAATGGTTTTTAAAAAATATTATATGGGGGCTGGGGATGTGGTTCAAGCGGTAGCGCACTCACCTCGCGTGCGTACAGCCTGGGTTCGATCCTCAGCACCACATACAAATGAACATGTTGTGTCTGCCGAAAATTAAAAAAAAAAAAAAAATTCTTAAAAGTTCTCTCTCTTTCTCTCTCTTTGGAAAAAAAGAAAAAAGAAATCTGAAAAAATATTATATGGTATTTTTTCATATTTTTTTGGCACATATTGATGAAATTTGTTGTTATATAATTGTACTGAAATGCTCCCTCACCAATCTTTTGGTATTAGGAATTTAAACCAGAGGCACTCTGCCACAGACCTACACCACCAGCCCTTTTTAGTTTTCATTTTCAAACAGGATCTCACTATGTTGCCAAGGCTGGCCTCCAACTTATGATGCTCCTGCCTCAGCCTTCTGAGTTGCTGGGATTACAGGCATGTGCCACCACACCTGACTCTTGAAATGCTTTTTATTCCAGCTTTCAGAAACTCATTGTTAGAAGTTGAAGATCATTTATGTGACTAATTCTACATGACCATGGTATTCATTATACATTCATTATACATTACTATGGTGTTCATTATACATTTATTTCAGCAACCTGTTGAGCTAAAAAATGACTAGCCCTATGTGACAAGGAATATAACCAGAGCCCAAAAGGGTTAAGGTTCTTACTCAAGTCACAAAACTTAGTGGCAGATCCTAAATTGGAGCTGAATCTTTGGATCTCAGCTCTTGGACCCTAAAATGGAAGTTTTGCTTCCAACTCTCAGCCGCTCTAGGATGACCTCAGCATATCATTTCTATTCTTAATTCATTCCATTCCCTATCAGTACTAGGATGGCTTGATTCATGTAGAATGTGAGCAAGCTGCTCAGATTTCCTGGGAAGACAAAACTTGCCCTTCAGCCCCAAGACTACACTTGGTTAGCCCTTCCACTATTACTAATTTATTCTCTCCCTCAGATTTCAAGCAAGGCCAAGCTCTTTCCTGGCAGCCCCCAGACCACAACTGAGCACTATGGAGTTTCCAGGGCCTGCACATTTCCCAAGCAGGACTCTTAACAGTCAGTCTTTGCTCCAAAGATCCCTAATTGAGTAGACTGAGGCCTCATTACAGCTGCATCAAGGTCTAAAGACTTTTCCTACTTCCTCTTTCTATCTCCTTCTTTTACCTTCCCCAAGTATTGCCCCTGCCACCACCAGAAAAGCAAAAATGAAAAAATCTTTCTACTCCTTCTTCTGTTTTGGCATCTGTTTCTCAGAGGTCATAAATGACCCAGAGAAACATCCATACAGTACTCCTCAAACTTCCTTACTTTCGCATACACCTGTAATCTCAACAACTTGGGAGGCTGAGACAGGAGGATTGCAAGTTCAAGGCCAGCCTAGCAATTTAGCAAGACCCTGTGCTCAAAAAAAAAAAAAAATCAAAAGAGCTAGGAATGGACCTGGCACAGTGGTGCACACCTGTAATCCCAGTGGCTCAGGAGGCTGGGGCAGGGGCTGGGGATATGGTTCAGTTGGTAGAGTGCTTGCCTTGCATGCATAAAGCTCTGGGTTCAATCCCCAACACCACCAAAAGAGAGAGAGAGAGAGAAAGGAGGATTGTAAATTCAAAGCCAGCCTCAATAACTTAGTGAGACCCTGTCTCTAAGTAAAATATGAAAAAGGGCTGGGGATGTGGCTCAATGGTTGAGCACCACTGGTTCAATCCCCAGTAATAAAAAGGGAAAAAAAAAAGGGCTAGAGATGTACTCAGGGGTAGAATGCCTCTGGTTGCAGTCCCCAGTACCAAAACAACAACAGTTTCCTTACTTTAGTAGATCAGGCAGATTGGTGACTGCAGGAGCCCTCTGCAAGCTCAAAATGGAACAAACTCAAAATGGAACAGTTGAGCTCCAGCATGAAATATAAATTTTAGGGGAGCTGTGGATGTAGCTCAGTGGTAGAGCATTTACCTAGCATGTGTGGGCCTGGGTTCAATTCCAGCTCTCTAACAAAAAAAAAAAAAAAGAAAGAAAGAAAATGTAAATTTTACATTTGTCTTTCCATTTATTTTAATATTTTGAAATATTTCTGCCCCCATTTTTTTTTTTTAATTGTTGGCTGTACCCTGTTGACCCAGCTTTTCAAGGCCACTGCATTGCCCTCTTCTTAGCTGGCCAGGCACTGCAGGCAGCCACAGAGAGACAACAGTAGGCAACAAAGAAAAGAAAGTACCTCACGTCAACACCTGCATTTGTCCTTTCCTCCTGCCCCGCTTGAATGTCTGTGGTTATTTTAGCCCAATTCTTCTTCCTCCTCCTCCTCTCACCCTCAGAAGGAGCTGCCTAGACGAACTACAGCCTACTTGGCCCCCAAGATGAAAGGCTCTTTTGTTAACCATCAACACTAACCAGAAGGCAGACAGTCACTAGTGTTTTTAGACAAAGGCACTATGTTTTCTAACTCCTACTGATAACCCTATTCCCGTCTCCCTGGTGTTCACCCCTAAAGAATGGAGAACAAAGATATTGAAATGAGAGGTAACATTCTATTTATGGAATCATCTCTTAAGTAGTAGCTTGCCTTCCAGGCTCTCCCAGCAGCCAGGCAAAATGTACCTGCATAGGAATTAAGTTTTCCATAGTATGGTTTTCTTTCCTTCTTGCTTTAGTAACATCCAGTAATGCTTTTGCAAAACATTTCATGCAAAAACAAATTGAAACTAAGTAAGGGGATCTTAGAAATTATTTAACAGATGTAAAAGTTAACATTTAAGGGAATTTTGTATGTCTAATACTATTGTATATTTTATAGATACACACACACACACATATTTGTGCATACATTAGGGATCAAATTCAACCCCCATACCAAAACAAAAAAAAACTCTTGTTAGATGTTGTTTATTTGCTTTCTGGACAGTTTGTTTTCATTTGCCTCCTCTAGCCTTCTTTTTATATTTTATGTCTGATTGGATACAGGTGAAAAAGACAAAATTACAACAGTGTAGTTAAAAGATCTTAATTGGTGTCATTTGCAATTTTTTACTCTGGCAACCCTTCATTCCATAAAAAATAATAATTGTGTTCCCATGGGCCAAGCAAAAGAGGTTAATTTTTTTGTTTCATTGTTTTTTTGTGGTACTGGGATTGTACACAGGGGAGCTCTACCACCAAGTCACATCCCCAGTCCTTTTTTATTTTTTATTTTGAGACAGGATCTTGATAAATTTCCCAGGCTGTCCTCAAATTTGTGATCTTCCTGCTTCAGTCTCTCAAGGAGCTGATATTGCAGGCATGTACCACTATGCCTGGCAGGATGTTGGTTTCATAAACAGATAAAGGCTGAAGAAAGCAGCTCGGTGGGCTCACATCTGTAATCCTAATGCCTCAGGAGGCTAAAGTGAGAGGATCACAAATTCAAACCAACCTCAGCAATTTAGTGAGTCCATGTCTCAAAATAAAAAATAAAAAGGGCTGGGGATGTGGCTCTGTGGCTCAGTTAAGCACTCCTGGGCCAAATCCACAGTTATGGGCCGAGGGCGGGGCATATATATATATAAGAGTTACTTTCTTTGTACTGAGGTTGCCCTTGAACTTGTCATCCTCTTGCCTCAGCCTCTCAAATTGCTAGGGTTATAGGTATCTGCCATAGTGCCCAGCTGAAATTACTCTCCTTGTAAAACAAGGCCAAAACAATAGAAAAATAACTGACTGGTCAACAGCAGATTATGTCAGATTTTTTTTTTTGTTAGAATTAAAGTCAGAGAAAACTTCATGACCATGCTGATTGAAACTAGACTGGGCCAGGCACTGTTGTACACAACTGTAATACCAATGACTTGGGAGGCTGAGGCAGGAGGATTGCAAGATCAAGGCCAGCATCAGCAACTTAGTGAGGACCTAAGTAATTTAGTGAGACGCTGTCTCACAATAAAAAAATTAAAAGGGGAGCCAGGCACGGTGGCATACACCTGTAATTCCAGCATCATGGGAGTCTGAGGCAGGAGGATCTTGAGTTCAAAGCCAGCCTCAGCAACATAGTGAGGGCCTAAGCAACTCAGCAATACCCTGTCTCTAAGTAAAATATAAAAAAGGGATGAGGATGTGGCTCCTATTCCCAGTACCAAATAAAATAAAACTAGACTGAGAAATTTGGCTGTTATTTCTCATTTCTTCTAGTTTCTCAGAGGGTCAGATAAACAGCTTATTTTCAGCGTGGTGATGTAGAACTTTTGTATGAGTGACTCCAAGTTTTATTTTTAGCCTGGTCGGTGGGGACTTAGTGCAGGAACTCCAAAATAGTATCATCCTGTAATTTTTATTTAACAGCGTTAAAGTCAAATCATTGTCCTTAGAGGAGATAGTATGTTTCTGAATTTAAGACTATTCTTGGGGTCTAGACACTTTCTCTATGACTCCAATAGAACCAGTATAATAATTCTTCAATATCCACAAATAATTTATTTTAAGAACTCCCAGCAACTTAGTGAGACCCTATCTCAAAATAAAACATAAAGACTAGGGATGTAACTCAGCTGTACAGTACCCCTAAATTCAATCCCCAGTACCAAATATAAATATACACACACAGCTAAAGCTGAGAGTGTGGGTCAGTGATAGATTGCTTGACTAGCATGATCAAGGTTCTGGGTTGGATGCCCAGCACTGGGGGGGGGAAAAAAAAAAAAATATATATATATATATATATATATATCTCGCTAATGATGAATCTGGTATTAGAATCCAAGCAGTCTAACTTCAAGAACAGGACTATTAACCACGTGTTCTATCCAAAGCACTTAGTTGGATAAAAATTGCTTGAGGGTGGAGCTGGGTATATATCCCAGGCTAAAGCACTTTGCCTAGCATGTGTGAGTTCAATCCCTAGCATGATTTTTTAAAAATAATGCTCAAGTTTAGTATAAGTAAATAAACATCAAGTTATACTCTGAAACCCTAGGAGGAAAGACTTAGATCCTGCTAAACTTCAAGGATACCAGCTTCAAGTGTTTAAGATTAAGCCAGATGGGTTGGCACATGCCTGTTCCAGCAACTTGCAAGGCTAAGACAGGAGGATCACATGTTCAAGGCCAGCCTGGGCAACTTAGGGAGACCCTGTCTCAAATTCAGAACTAAAAAATCCTGGGGTATAGCTCAGTGATAAAACATTCATGAGTTCAATCCCCAGTCCTAAACAAAAACAAAAAAAGACTTCTTAAGATTGAAGGACCGTGAAGATAGTGGCCAGGAATCAAATGGAGAAGGGAGGTTAATCATGTTTTCTGACATCACTTCTGACACCAGATGTGTGTGTCTTCCCAAAACCAAACAATTCTTCAGTTTGCTGACACCTAGTAGGTGTCCAACAACTCAATACAGTTCAGTTCTGACAATACCAAGTTTGTATCATACTCCATAGATTTAAGGGCTCAGTTCCACAAAACTGCCTCTACTTCAGATGTTAGTCAAAAATTGGCTAGCCTAGGCTACTCACAGTTCTGCCTGGCAGACTACAGATTCCTCAGGTTCAGTAATTCACTGGGTACAACAGGGTAGATAGCTACCCAAACTGAGACCCCAAACTGATTTTGTCTTCCAGGACTTGCATGGGTACTGGGAGATGCTGAAGAACTGCCCTTTGATGATGACAAGTTTGATGTTTACACCATTGCCTTTGGGATCCGGAATGTCACACACATTGATCAGGTATGGATGCCTGCATCCTGAGATTGTGTGACTGTCAGCACCAGGCAAGATGGTACATGCCTGTAATTCCAACAACTCTGGAGGCTGAGGCAGGAGTACTGGAAGTTCAAGACCAGTGTGGGTAATTTAAAGAGCCCTGTTTAAAAAAAAATTAAAAAGATAGGGGATGTAGTTCAGTGGTAGAATGCCCCTGGATTTGATCTCCAATACAGAAGGGGGAAAAAAAAAAATATATATATATATGTGTGTATGTATAAAAATCAGTTCTCTGGAGTGGATCTATAGCGGGTGAGGGAAGGAGATTCTGCTCTGGGTTCAGCACTTGAGTGGAGTGAATATTTTAAGCTTACAGGCTTCTTCCTTAAAATTGCCAACATTCACAGGGTATGGCGGCACATGCCTGTAATCCCAATAGGAGGTAGAGACAGGAGGATCAGAATTTCAAAGCCAGCCTTGGCAACTTAGGCCCTAAGCAACTTAGTAAGACCCTTGTTCAGAATTTAAAAAAGGACTGGGGATGTGGATCAGTGGTTGAAAGGCCCTGAGTTCAATCCCTAGTACAAAAAAAAAAAAAAAAGCCAACTTGCCTAGTTATAAAATTAAAAAGGTCAAAAATCACAGAGCAGGGGCTGGGGATGTGGCTCATGCGGTAGCACACTTGCTCGGCATGCGTGCGGCCCGGGTTCGATCCTCAGCACCACATACAAACAAAGATGTTGTGTCCGCTGAAAAACTGAAAAATAAATATTGAAATTCTCTCTCTCTCTCTCTCTCTCTCTCTCTCTCTCTCTCTCTCTCTCTTTTAAAAAAAAAAAATCACAGAGAAGCTCCCATAGGAGTGTTTGTTGCTTGGGTTGACATTTACATCTTTGGGATAGTTAGTCTTGCCCTGGCATTTCATCTGTTTCCTCTCATTTATGAAGCTGTGTGAGCTTACAGACGATCAGAGAGATGATCAGAGGCTGACACTGAAAAATGTACTCAGGTACTATTCTGTCAGAAGGTAGCTTCATGGTTCCTCTGCAGGGAGAACGGAATGTTCATTTCTTAATCTGCTTCAGTTCTTTATTTCTATTTTAGTATTCTCTTCAAAACATTTGCTAGGGGCTGGGGTTGTGGCTCAGTGGTAGAGTGCTTACCTAGCATGTGTGAGGAACTGGGTTCGATTCTCAACACCATGTATAGAAAAATTTAATAAATAAAAGATCCATTGACAACTAAAAAATATTTAAAAAGAAAAAATTTGCTAGCTGGGCATAGTGGTGCATGCCTGTAATGGAATTTGGAGGATTGCAAGTTCAAGACTAGTCTTAGCATCTTTTGCAAGATCTTTAGCAACTTTCAAAATAAAAAATTAAAAGGACCGGAGATGTAGCTAAGTCTTAAAGTGTCCCTAGGTTTAATTCCCAGTACCAAAAAAAAGCAATATGTAATTATTACAATTATAAATAGTAAATGTTTATTATAAATAACACATTAAATGATATCATTAGATATATTAAAAATATAGATAATGTATCTATATTTTGTTTTGTTTTTTACAGGGGAATGAACCCAGGGGTACTTTACCATTGAGCTACATTCCCAATCCTGTGTATTTTTTATTTTGAGAAGGGTCTTGCTAAATTGCTGAGGCTGGCCTCAAACTTGCCATCCTCCTACCTCAGCCTCTTGAGTTGCTAGGATTGCAGGCATGTGCCACTGTGCCTAGCCTTATTTTTTATTTTGAGACAGGGTCTTGCTAAGTTGGTGAGGGCCTCCCTAAGTTGATAAGGCTGACCTGGAACTTGTAATCCTTCTGCCTCAGCCTCCCAAGACGTTGGAGTTATAGTCATATGCCACCATGACCAGCTGATTTCTCCTTTTTAAAACAGCTGAATAGATTCCTTTTGTGTAGCTATTCCCTAATTTAACCAGGCTCTCCTTAATAACTAATTTAAGATGCCTCTAATCACGTGCTATTCAAATAGCAAATTACCCTTATTCATGTCATTTCCACAGCAGAAGCATTTCTGTAAGATTACTTAAAGTAAAATTGTTATGTTGAAGAGGATATCCAGCCAGGTGTGGTAGTACATGACTGTAATCCTAGAGACTCAGGAGACTAAAGCAAGAGGATTACAATCTGGAGGCCAGCTTTAGCAACTTAGCAAGACCCTGTCTCAAAATCTAAACTGAAAAAGACTGAGGCTGCAGCTCAGTGGAAGAGTGGTAGAGTGCTCCTGAGTTCCGTCTCCAGTACCAAAGAAAAAGAAGATATCCATTGATTTTGATCCCCAATTCTAAATTTGCTCTTGATGGAATTTTACCAATCCGTATAGTCAGTAAACTTCTCTAGTTATGGGCAGCATTTAGGATATGTAGGGTTATTTCTGCTGTTATCATTGTCCAACTGAGAGTAAATCAGGGATTTGTAGGAATTAATATTTATAATGCCCACAAAACTAACACTGTTCTCAGCTACATTGGAATTGAGTGAGGTTAATGAAGCATGTGTCCTGTTCTTGTCTTTCTTAGGCTCTCCAAGAAGCCCATCGGGTCCTGAAACCAGGAGGGCGGTTTCTCTGTCTGGAGTTTAGCCAAGTAAACAATCCCCTCATATCCAGGTTGGTATTGATAAAAGGGCTTTATCTTCATTGTCTATCCAAAGGGTTTTCCACCCCAAAATGGATAGAAAATAGCCAGTAAGCTGTAACAATGAACTTAAAGATTGAGTCCTAGGGCTGGGGTTGTGGCTCAGCAGTAGAGCACTGGCCTAGCAAGAGCAAGGCCCTGGGTTCTATTCTCAGCACCACATATAAATAAATAAATAAATAAAAAGAAAGGTATTATGTCCGACTACAGCTAAAAAAATAAATATTGGGAAAAAAAAAAATTGAGTCCCAGAGTCCCTGAAAGACCTCAGAGGTCAGGCAGTTGGGAGTGATGATTCTTAGGCCAGAAGAGACCCAAGCTGGCCCACATTATATATTTTGTTTGGCTTATATGGTATTTTAAGAAATTGACTTAAAATATGGAAATTTTATGCCAGGCATAATGGTGCATCCCAAAAACCTCCGTGACTCAGGAGGCTAAGGCAGGAGGATTGCTAGTTTAAGGATAACCTCAGCAACTTCTTGAAGCCCTAAGTAACTTAGTAAGACCCTGTCTCAAAAAAAAAAATTAAAAGGACTAGGGAGGAGCTAGGGTTGTAGCTCATTGGAAAAGCACTTGCCTAGCATGGGTGAGGCACTGGTATAATCCTCAGTACCATATGAAAATAAATAAGATAAAGGAATTATGTCCATCTACAACTTAAAGGGGTGGGGGTGGTTAGGGAGATAGCTCAGTGGTAAAGCACCCCTGGGTTAAATCCCCAATACTAAAAAATAAAAAGTTGGAGGCTAGCCCCAGCAACTTAATGAGACCTTAACCAAATAAAAATTTTTAAAAGGCTGGGGATGTTGCTTAGAGGTAAAGTGCCCCCTGGGATCAATCCCCAGTCCAAAATTGAAATTTGAAAAATCAAAATTTTATGTGAAAATTTTAGTGAAGGAGTTCAGCTTCACTTGGGAAATCAGATACCTCGTGGCAACCTTGGGTAGGCCCATCTTCCCACATGCAGTAGTCAGAACTTAGTATTAACTGCCTCTTCTTACTTTTTTGGTACTTCCTAACTGAACCTGTCACCATACTTCTTGGTCTTACACCTGATCCACTTCCCTTATTTTTTTGAGAAAAAGGAAAAAGAAGTTGTATTGCTTTGCTAACAAAGGAGAAATACAGGGGACTTCCATCCCAGAGGCTGTGATTCTCCCCTACTTCCCTTATTTCAGGTATTTGCTCAGCCTCCTCTAGGCATGAGAGGAATTGTGACCTGAGCCTTACTTAGAACCTGGATTCTTTGTTGTTGTTGTTGTTGTTTGTACTAGGGATTGAACCCAGGGCACTTTACCACTGAGCTATGTCCCCAGCACCGCCCCCAACCCCCTTCCTTTATTTTTTTTTTCTTTAGAGACAGGGTCTCCTTAAGTTGCTGAGGGCCTCACTAAGTTGCTGAGGCTGATCTTGAATTTGAGATTGAGATCCTTCTGTATCAGCCTCCTGAGTTGCTGGAGTTGCATGCCCCATACCCAAGGCAGAACCTTGCTTCTTAAGGGAAGAATTCAGGCACTTTTTTCTCTTTTTTAAAAATTTTGATAGAGTGTCCAGTAAATGAATGCAAAGCATATTCTAATCTTAATCTTTTGCCTTTTTTGTTTGCTTAGGCTTTATGATCTATATAGCTTTCAGGTCATTCCTGTACTGGGAGAGGTTGTTGCGGGAGACTGGAAGTCCTATCAGTACCTTGTAGAGAGCATTCGAAAGTTCCCATCACAGGTACAGTATTTCTGTAGCTTACAACAAAGAGCCTAAAGTTGAAATCCAGACAATTCTTGGTGTACCTATCCTTCTGTTTTAGGAAGAATTCAAGGAGATGATAGAAGATGCAGGTTTTCAGAAAGTGACATATGAAAGTCTAACTTCAGGCATTGTGGCCATTCATTCTGGCTTCAAACTGTAACTCCTTTTCTATCCTGGAACATGAACCAGTCATGCCTGATAAATGCCTGGAACTGAAGAATAATCTGACTGATGAGGCAGCAGCTGAGCAACTTAAGGATAAGTACCTTGGACTCAAGTTCTGAATCAACTAGTCTCAAAGAGGAAGAAACCAATTCTGTCATTTTCTGCAGCTTTCATTAGGAGCTGCTTGGGCCTTCTCCCAAAGGCATTGGTCTGTTGTTTGGTTCAACTCCTGCCAACTTCTCTTAGGTATGCATTGTTGGATTCAGGTAAAACTAGCACTGAGCACTAAAGCACAGTTTTGAGGTACATTTGTAGCTTTCTAACAGTGCTGCCTCCCAAAGGAAGGATCATTTGAACCCAATGATGATTTTGAGTCAGAAAGCTTAATTGCACCTGAATCACCTTTCAGCCTAGGACTGAATCTAGGGCCAGAAGCCAAAGCCCCAATCAAAAGGCTAACAATCAACACTTGAATTCTGGGCTCGAGGAATATAGCACAGTGGCAGACTCTGTGCTTGGCACTTGTGAAACTCTAAGCTCTATGCTCAGTATTCTCCCCACAAAAAAAAAAAAAAAAAAAAAAAAAAACCACCTTGAATTGTATGTTGAACTGGTAAATCAGTTTACAATTTGAGTGATTAGGAAAATACATTTTTTATAATTCTTTCAATTCTTTCTGGTGGAAGAGGTTCCACCAGAAGACACTATTGTGTACTATGTCAGAAAGAAAAGGACTCCTAGCTTGGTGTGGTAGCATACACCTGTAATCCCAGCTACTCAGGGAAGATGAGGCAGGAGGATGGCAAGTTTGAAGCCAGCCTAGGTAACTTGGTAAGACCACATCTCAAAATAAATATAAAACAAACCTGACACGGGGGCACACATCTGTAATCCCAGCAACTCAGAAGGCTGAGGCAGGAGGATAGCAAGTTCAAAGCCAGCCTGGGCAACTTAGCTGTAAAAAGTAAAAACAGCTGAGAATGTGGCTCAGTGGTAAAGTGCCCCTGGGTCTAATCCCCAGTACTAGCAAATAAATAAATAAAGTATAAAACAACAGGGCTAGGGGTGTAGCTCAATGATAGAACATGCACAAAGCCCCAGTACCACAAAAAATAAAAATCACTCACTACTAAGTCCTTTTTGATAGAATAAATGTACTAGCAAAGTCCTGTTTTCATGTCTTGTAAAGGGAGTTTCTTGGTCAGAATATATTTGAAGAAAGGGTAATAGCAAAAAAAAAAAAAGTTTGAAAACTATTTATGTAGCCTAACCCCCACTTCAATACTCTGGGATGGATCTGGGCAGAGCTCATCTCCTTACTACAGTTCATTGTTTTTTAAGAGGCCATAAAAACTGGGCACATATCTCAGTGACTCCAGGGGCTGAGGCAGGAAGATCACCAGCTTAAGACCAGCCGGTGCAACTTAGCAAGATCATGTTTCCAAAAAGAAGTGGATGAGGGTGGGCATGGTGGTGCATGCCTGTAATCCCAGTGGCTGGGGAAGCTGAGGCAGGAGAATTGCAAGTAAGTTCAAAGCCAGCCTCAGCTTTAGCGAAGGCCTTAAGCAATTTAGCAAGACCCTGGGGATGTAGCTTGATGGCTGAGTGCTCCTGGGTTCAATCCCCAGTACTTAAAAAAAAAAAGATACTGTAGAAATTCATCTCTGAGTTGGCTAACAGTCTAATTATAGATAACTTCATTCAAGGTTTTTTAAGAGGCTTCAGATATGCTCCTTGGCTCAGCACAGTAGGGACAAGATCTTGCCCTGTCACTTCCAGGTATAGGTAGCTACAAACAACTGTCTCAAATAAGAGCAGCTAAGAGCATTTGAGAAAATTCTAAACCTTAGAAAAACTTAGCTTATTTTGTTTTCAGCCAGCCAGCTGGAGCCTATAGGGTTTTGAAATAAATAGGAAAGAGTGGGTCCTGGAAGGAACTTCATAAGCCATCAACTCAGTTTTGTGGGATTTTTTTTTTTTTTAGTTGTAGTTGGGCATTTATTTATCTTTATGTGGTGCTGAGGATGGAACCCAGTGCCTCACATGTGCTAGACAAGCACTCTACCGCTGAGCCACAACCCCAGCCCATTAACCCAGTCTTTATCTTCATAGCAATATGGTTTCCTCACATCTGAATCAAAAAGTGGAAGTTAAAAGTTGCCAACTTCCTGGCAGTAGATAAGGTACAGAACACTTAGGTTAGAACTCTCATTGTCTACCTGTATGGTCTTGAATCAGCTCAAGGGTCTATTACTGAAGACTGATCATCTGTTTGGAGTAGGGCTAACTGAACAAGATAATAGCTTTGGAAACCAAATTCCTGTTGTTCTTTAAATAGAAATATAGCCAGGTCACCAAAGAGAGAAAGGGGATAGAAAAGAGATGATTAATGGGAACATTTTTAATCTGTTTACATAAAAACAAACCTAAATCACCCCAATTATAGTCTCCTTCCTCAGTACTTTATCCTTCTTTCCTGCAGATAGCAGGGGGAAAACTCAACTGCCCCAAAAAATAGTAAAATAAATTTTTGTACCCCCAACGCTGAAACCCTTCCAGTCCTAATGTAGCACAACTTCACTAGGATTCTAAAAGTGCTGGTCAAAAAAATTACAAACTTCCAAAGATGTTACTAAGCTAATGCCACACTTAAGACAGAGTCATCACTTATCAATTCAAATCTAGGACTCAGCCATGCACAGTAGTGCAAACTTTGTAATCTCAGCAATTCCAGTGGCTGAGATAGGATTACAAATTCAAAATCAGCCTCAGCAATTTAGCAAGTCCTCAAGTAACTTAGACTCTGTCTCAAAAAAATAAAAATGGGGCCGGGATTTTGGCTTAGTGGTAGAGCACTTGCCTGGCATGTGAGAGGCACTGGGTTTGATTCTTAGCACCACACATAAGTAATAAGGTCTATCAACAATTAAAAAATTAATTAAAAAATTAGTAAATATGGGGCTGGGGTTGTGGCTCAGCAGTAGAGCACTTGCCTCGCACGTGCGAAGTCCTGGGTTCGATCCTCAGCACCACATAAAAATAAATAAATAAAATAAAGGTATTTTGTCCAACTGCCACTAAAAAATAAATATTAAAGAGACAAGTTACTATTAAAAAAATAAGTAAATAAAAAGGACTGAGAATGTGGTTTTTGAGGCAAATCTCCTGTGTTCAGTCCCCAGTAGCCAAAAAAAAAAAAAAAAAGGTAATAGAAACCTCAGGGGTTGCTCCGAAATTTCGAGATTTTTTTTTTTTTCTCATAGATTTCTTATAGATCTTGCATCTTGTAGATCCCAGGTCTGAAACAAAAGCCTTATCTCATGTGAAAATTATGTAGGAAGGGCTGGGGTTATGGCTCAGCGGTAGAGCGCTCGCCTAGCATGTGCAAGGCCCTGGGTTCAATCCTCAGCACCACATAAAAGTAAATAAATAAAAGTATTGTGTTCAACTACTACTAAAAAATAAATATTTGAAAAAAAAAAAAAGAAAATTATGTAGGAAACCTTAAAGTCAAGATTTGTCTTGAAATTTCCCAAGATGGGTACAGGTTGTCTCAGCTCTGTTTCTTGGTGTGGTCCTGGGATTGAACCCAGAGACACTTTACCACCAAGCAACATCCCTATCCCTTTTATAAATTTTGAGACAGGGACTAAGTTGCTATAGCTGTCCTGGAAGTTGGGATCCTTCTGCCTCAGCCTGCAGAGTCCCTGAGATTGCAAGCATACACCATTAGGCCCAGCCCCCACCCCCCCTTTTTTCCCCTATCTACAAAAAAAAAAACAAGTCTCAAAGCCTGGTGCCCACACACCAACTCAAGGCAACTCAGGAGGTTGAGGCTGGAAGATCCCAAGTTCCAAGCCACAGTCAGCAATTTAGAGACCCTCAGCAACTTAGTGCGATCTTGTTTCAAAATTAAAGTCTGGGGTGTAGCTCTGTGGTAGAGCACAAATTCAATCCCTGGTACCAAAAAGCTAAATCTCTCTCATATGTGCTTTTCTTCATAAGACTACTTGGTCTCCATAAAATTGGGAGGAAACTTTTGATGGTTACTTTTTTGGGGGGGAGGGGGGAGTTACTGGGAATGGAAACCAGGGGCGCTCTATCACTGAGCTACATTCCAAATTCTTTTTATTTTGAAACAGATCTCCCAAAATTGCAGAGACTGGTCTTGAATTTCCAATCCTCTTATCTTGGCCTCCTGAGTCACTGGGATTATAAACATGCACCACACCTGGCAATGGTTACTTGTCCACAACTTCAACTGGGTTCTTTAAAGAAATCAGTTTGAGGACTGGGGTTGTAGCTCAGTGGTAGAGCGCTTGCCTAGCATGTATGAGGCACTGGGTTTGATCTTCAGCACCACATAAAATCAAACAAAGATATTATATCCATCTACAACCAAAAATATTAAAAAAAAAAAAAAAAGAGTTTGACCACAGCCAATTAAAACAGTGAGTACAGCAAGTATAAAATTCCAGCAAAGGCTTTATTAAGTGAACATGGAGAATGACTGCTCAGAAAATTTTGTTTTCCCCTTTTCAGGACCACCTTCTAGAGCTGGGGATGTAGCTTAATGGTAGAATGCTTACATATGACAAGCCCTGGGTTCAAATCCCAGCAAAAATAAAAGACTACCTTATACCCAGGCATCTACCTGGGAAGTGGAGGTTGAGGTAGGAGGTTTCCAAGTTCAAGGCCTGGGCCATTTAGTAAGACCCCCTTCTCAAAAAGGGGATATAGCCCAGTGGTAGAATGTACTTGTGATCAGTCCCCCTTACCGTCAAAATCAAACCAACTTCTATCATTAAGTGTAGCCTTTGGGAGAATAGGGTAGGAGCAGGGAAGACAGCCTACACAGCGTACATTTTCTTTTCCCAACTCTGTAATGAGCTATTACCATTTAACAGCCATAGAAAGCTTAAAGAAGGCTGGCCTATAATCTCAAGGAGGGAGCCAACTGTTGTAAAGTGCACCTGGGTTCAAACCGCAGTCCCCCACCAAAAAAAAAAAAAAAAAATGCATCCATCCACTCCACTAGGGCTTGAAGCACAAAATATTCTTTTGAAAGAATACTATCCTTAAATGCCATTTCCTCAGATATAAGACAATCTCAAACTTCTCTGCCATGCGTTTAACATGGACAGCTGTTGCAGGATGGGTAAAAAGACTCAAGAGTACTCTAATGGCTAGTTCCATAGAAATTTGACTTTGAAGACTCACTCTCACCAACCTGGTCACCTGACCCAATTAATAGGCCACCTTCAATCTTGTTATTTGAACAAATTGTACTTCACACACATATACATCTCCAACAGATTTATTTTTTAAAGGAATGGATTGAGAGAAAAAAACATGGGGCACAGAAGTATGGAATAGAAAATAAATACAAATGTAAGCTGTTTTGCTAATTGTTTTATAACCACAACAAACTAGTACAGAGAATGCCCTGTACAAAACACAATAAATGTTCAAAGATCAAGCTGTTCCCTTAGCAAGGCTAAAGATTTCAGTCTCTGGTATTTGGAATTTAGGCTGCAGTCCTTATTTTTGGATGGATCACTGGTGTATGGCACAGTCCATGCTTTTAACCAGATTTGAACAGAAGAATGGCCACTTGGCCCAGGTAAAAGTAGATGAAGTGCTTGGTTTCGTGTGTCACGTAACTACCGAAGTTCCTCCCCACAATGCAGTGCCAGGTGGGGTTGTACTTCTTGTCAAACTCCTGGGAAAAAAGGAAAAAAAAAAAAAAAAACTAGAATTTTAGTTCTAAACCAGAACCTGTAGGAGCAGAAAGGAAGAACAACAGCATCTGCAAATTCTTAGAATGAAAGAATGAATGTTCCCTAGCTCCAAGTCGCCCACATAGTACATTAATGCAAACATGCTTGCAGTCTGAGCTAAGATGGGAATGGGAGCTGAGGCGGCCAAAATCAGAAAGGTCAGCCTCAAAGACAGGGTGCTTTGTTATAATGATAATTACACCTTTCTATCTTCTATAATATTCTTAACTCACTGACAGCAGGTGACATCAGCAGTTATACTTCATTATATTCTCTGGGTAAACAGACCTAAATTGTCCTCCCACTACATTTGCCATGCATCCAAAAAAAAAAAAACTTAAAAAATTGAGCCAGTTTCAAAAGATTCTTAAGATTCTTAACTGCACTCCTGCACTACTATAAACAAGACTTCCAAAGGACAAAGCTTCAATTAGCAACTAAACCAAACAAGTGCAGATCAAAATTTAGATTTAAGGGGATAAGATTCTATGAAAAGAATGTTGGCAGCTGGTCAAATTTTATCTTTAATCAGAACTTAAACTACCTCCCCCAAAAAAACAACAACCAAAAACCTCCTTTCCATAGCTATATGATGCTAAACCTATTACCTGGTCCTCAAGGTTAGCAACTCTTCCCTATTTCTCCCACTCCAAAAGGCATTGGGACTAGTAAACCTGTGCCAACTTCTTCACTAAACTAATGTGTAGGCAAAGACCAAATATAATCTCTATAAATTATTAAAATTCTTTTTATGGTGAGTTAACAAAATTTAGCTTCTATTGCATGCAGTGTGAAAATCTCTGTTAGGTCTACTAAGGAGACTATCTGTCCTACAAGCTAGATGCACATACTGCTGCGTTTGTCAATAAAGATATTGATTTCTGTTCCATCTTAAGTCTTTCATCTTCCATTCTCCACTGGAAGGGAATCTTCCCAGGCTTAGGCTGCCAGCTTCCTTCTCTTCTAGCAAAAGGTAGCTCGAGAAGTCGGCAGTCCTGCCAGGTTTCTGACTACCACGTACCAAACCCCTACCTACCCCAGGCGCCAACCACTATCACCACCCACTTGCCTTAACTGCCGACTAATTCCCCCTGGAAGACTGGCAAGATCTCCCTCTGGCCGGGCTGCAAGCACCCACGCAGCTCCCCCCTCCGGAACACCCAGATGGATCCCCGGTGCAGGAATCCTACAGAAGGGGGAACCGCTCGCTGCTCCCTGATCTTGGAAACCGTTGCTAGGTGGCGCTTTCCCCCAAGGAGATGGGTAATTAAAAAAAAAAAAAAAAAAAACTTGGGGCTCTGAGGGTCTGGTCTTCCCAAGAGAAGCGCAAAATCCATTTGCGTTCTTTCCAGAAATCTCTACGCCCCGAACCCTAAGAATCTCTCCTAGATGCCTTGAGGACGCAGGATCGGGAGAAGGAACTAAGTTATGACGCGCGCCAGGTCCTCACCTTCTTGATGTGGGCCGCAATATCCTTTTCTATATTATATTTCTCCAACGCCTGAGTAGCGCACTCCACCGAATCCTGTTGCATCTCTTCCGACATGTCCGCATTTTTTATCACCGCCTTTCTGTCGCACATGGTTACCTGGGGGACAAGGACGGCGAAAGGAGTCAGGGAATAGGGTCTCGGGAGCGCCTCTGAAGCGCCGGTTCCCCACCCCCGGCCCGCGCCATCCCGGGACGCCACCCCCACCCCACTTTTCAGGAAACGCGGATCGAGCGGACCGCACAGCGAGGGAAGTCCAGCAGGTGGGGGTGAAGCCAGGTGGCGGGGACGCCTGAGTCTCACCGTGGGGGCAGCGGCTGGGCGACTGCAACGGTCTCCTGAGGAAGGTGCTGGCGCAGCTCAAGCCCAGACGGAGTTGCTATCGCTACCGAAGCCGTGGCGCATCTAAGCAGCCCCACGCCAGCCGCCGCCGCCTAGTGCTCAGGCCCCGCCCTGCTCCCGCCGGCCCCGCCCCCACCGCACGTCCCTATTGGCTTAACGCAGCCTCCATAATTCTCCCATTGGCCCAAGGACTCAATGGTTCCCTCAGGATCTTTCGCCTGCATTTTGTTGCAGACCACAATGCACCGCTCACGGCGTCGGTTGCCCTGGCAATGGGCTGGCGCACGAGGTGAGGCCCACACACCCGGAAGGTGGAGCCTGGGCTAGGTGGAGAGGACCGCCACCTGTCTGGAGAGCTGCAAGGGGAGCTTTTGCCCTAGCCAAGCGAGGTGATTCAAAATTCACAGAGGGCGTGTTGTCAAACTTGACAGCCTCAGGAAATTGGGTGGCCACCTCCCCATGTCCCTCCCACCCCCACCCTAGATCAGAAAAATTTACGGATTTTGAGGAGGCCTTCCCTTCACTGAATGGATATCTGTGAAGCAGGGCCGGCTTCTTGGGAAGCCCACGGTGCAGTCGCACAGAAGAGGTTCTCGTGCGTGGTTTAATACTCTGCTGTCTCATTCTTGAAATTTAGTATTTAAACAAGGGGCCCCACATGTCCATTTTGCACTCGGCTCCCTGTGTCGTCGATCCTGCTCTGAAATATTTGTTGTGCGGAGGAGGGTTGGGGACAGTCTCAGGACTGAAGGAGGGTTTCAGGAAGGAAATGAGTTTCTTTCTGAATTAAGGAATTTCCTCGGGAGTGGGGTCTCTCTGCCAGGCAATGCAGACTTAATTTAAGGGGCTCAAGATGGATTTAGGAGGGCTGGGGATGTTACTCAGTGGTAGTACACTTGGCTGGCATTTACGAAGCCGAGGGTTCGACCCCCCACCACCACCCTATTCCATACCGCAATAAAAAGGGGGGTGTGTGTGTGAAAATTCCAGGTGGATTTGGAGTGTTGAGCCTTGAGGTGTTTCCAGAGAGGGGCTACTTGGCTCCATTAATGGAGACTTTCTTGTGTAGGAGAGTTTCTTGGTCGGATCCTAATGGACAAGAATGGGGTCCTCAGAGGTGTTTCTTGGCTTAGGGAGACTGAGCACTAAGAAAATTCTTGGGGCTGAGAATATAGCTCAGTGATAGAGCCCTGGATTGGAAACCCAGCGCAGCAAAAATAAAGCTCAACATGGTGGCACTGGTCTCTAAATCCCAACATTTAAAAGACTAAAGCAGAAAGACCAAAAATCTGTTTAAGGCCAAACCAGGGTGGTGGCGCACACCCCTAATCCAAGCAGGGAGGCTAAGCCAGGAAGACAATTGGAGGCCAGGCTCAGCAATTTAGGGAGACCTCAAAGTAAAAAATAAAATGGAGCCAGGTGTGGTGGCCCATGTCTCTAATCTCAGCAACTCAGGAGGTTGAGGCAGGAGGATCCCAAGTTCAAAGTCCACTTTAGCATCCTAAGGAGACCCTCAGCAACTTAGTGAGATCCTGTCTCAAAAAAATAAAATAAATAAAAAGGTTTGGGAATGTACCTCAGTGATAAATCGCCCCTGGGTTCGATCCCCAGTACAGAAATAATAATTTTAAAAGTTTGAGGCCAGTCTGCACATGCCTGTAATCTCAGCTACTAGGGAAGCTAAAGGCCAAGGCCAGAGGATCATGAGGTTGAGGCTAGCTTCAGCAGAGTAAGAAGACCCTGTCTCCAAAATAAAAAGAACTGGGAATGTAACTCCATGGCGGAGCACTTGCTTATTCTGCATGAGGCCTTAGATTCAATTTTCAGTACTGCCTAAATAAATAAATTGCAAGGGTGCCTGGCTCAATGGCCTACACCTGTAATCCCAGCAACTCAGGGGACTGAGGTTGGAGGATCTCAAGTTCAAGGCCAGCATCAGCAATTTAGGAAGGCCCTAAGCAATTTTGTGAGACCCTGTCTCAAAATTAAAAATACAAAAAAGGCTGGGGATTTGGCTCAGTGGTAAAGCCCCCCTGGGCTCAATCTCTAGTACCAAATAATAAATAAATAGCAAGGACTTCAAGAAAGTGGTCAAATCTAGACCTAAATCCCAGCACTGCATTATGTATAATTTTAATACACCAATAAAAAATAAACTTAAGAACTATCTGAACCTCTGTTTAAATCTATAATAAGAAACTAAATGTAAAAGGAAACCACTTCATAGGCTTGTTGGGATTATTAATGAACTAATGCTTTTAAATTCTCAGCACCGCATGTAGGAAGTAACTACAAGTTATTGTCAGTTTAAAAAACAGTCCCAGTCAGACACAGTGGCACAGGATAATGATGCCAGTGACTCAGGAGGCTGAGGAAGGAGGATTGCAAGTTTGAGGCCAGCTTCAGCAATATAGGGAGGACCTAAGCAATTTATCAAGAACCTGTCATAAGGTCTGGGGATAGAGTTCAGTTGGTACAGTGCTTGCCTTGCAATGCATAAGGCCCTGGGTTTAATCCCCAGTGAGCTCGCACGCGCGCGCACACACACACACAAAATGTTTTAAAGATTTAAAAAAGGCTGAGGATGTAGTCTTGTGGTAAGGCCAAGGGTTGTTTTGTTTGTGGTTTTTTTTTTTTTTTTTTTTTTTTTTTTTTTTGTGGTACCAGGGATTGAATCTAGGGGCACTTAACCACTGAGACATATCCCCAGTCCTTTTTATTTTGAGACAAAGTCTTGCTAAATTACTTAGGGCCTTACTAAATTGCTGAAGTTTGCAACCCTTTGCACTCACTGTTACTCCTCACAGCAGCTCTGCCTGAGACCCCTTTCCTCTTACCTCCCTCTTGGCAAAGCTATTTCCTCATGTGGACTTCAGCTCAAATGTCACCTTCCCTGAACTCCCCTCTCTCCACTTCCCCACCACCAGCTTTCAGTTATGCTCTACAACACCTGTGTGTGTGTGTGTGTGTGGTGCTGGGCATCTAATCTGTGGCCTCATGCATGTCAGGCAACCATTTTACCACTGAACTATGCTCCTGACTCCTCTAAAACACTTTTTTTGTGGAGGGGCAGGGATTGAGGATTGAACCCCAGGGAAGCTTTGCTTCTGAGCCACATCCCATTTATTTTTATTTTGAGACAGGGACTCACTAAGTTGCTGAGGCTGGCCTTGAACTTGTGATTCTTCTGCCTCAGCTTCCCAAATTGCTGGGATTACAGGTATGTACCACTGTACCCAGCTCTACAACACTTTTAATTCCTCCACCATATTTGCTTCATTTATTCTTTCAGGGGAATTACCTTATGTATTGGTTTGCCTAGATATTGCCTATCTGCTCCTGACTCTTTTGGTTACTAGTCCATCTTCGGCATTAATTCAGTGTCCAAGACCAGGGATGTAGCTCAGTGGTAGAGCTCTTGCCTAGTATTTGCAAGGTTCTGGGTTCTAATCCCTAGCTCTGGGGAAAAAAAAAAAAAGAAAAAATTCAGTTTCTGGCACATAACAGATACTCAATAAATAGACTGAATTTAAGAAGTCAAATAGTATGTCACCATCTTACATATTAGAAAATTGATTTCCAAGGACATGCTGTTAATAAATGAAAGTTCATGTATGGATTACTCTAAAATCCATTCTCTAAACTTGGGTATTATATTCATACATTTAGCAGAGTAGGCAGTTTGCCTTTTTCTTATTTATAACTTTGAAGGAGTTTGAAATGGAATGATGGTAAGGTTTTCTAAAACATAACAGGATTTCATTTAATAAAGGATGCTAGTTATTTCTCAGTTGTGACTCCTGCCCTTTCCTGACATCTGTGTTTATACTGCTCATTCTCAACCAGCTCTTAGCCTGAAAGAAGGTGCCATCAGAAACCAGGGCCTCCTTGGCCTATGTTAGTCCCCATTTGGGGAGGGGGGATTGTCCACCTAATTTGGAGGGAATTTTTTCTAGGAACCAAAAGCATTTCTACCTTTTTCATACCTTTATCAATCACTTCTGTAGATTGGTTCATTATTTATCTACCCACTCTGAGTAAGGCAGGCAGCAAATATCTCCTGA